CAAAGAAAAAGAGACAATGTTTATCTGGCCTCTTTTAAACTAATTTTCTCTATATAAACTTATATGGTTATATAGGGAAATATGAGCTTTAAAAGTCTACAGATGGAAACTGCTAGTAACCTGCAATTATATTAGCACTGTGTGTGACACTCAAAACAAGAGCAGGAAGTACTATCTTGATCATCGTGATTAATTCATTGGTTAATTTGAATACATAGACCAGCATCAGTTCTAATTTTCAGATATTTCCCATAACACTCATGACATTAACAATCGTAAGTCAAATATGAAGCACCTTTCTTTTAACACATGCAGATGTAGAATCTACCCAACTTGTGGACTGCCCCAATGCTGTAAATGCATCAGTGAGCTGGTAATTTTATATTCCTAGAAACTTGTTAGAAGGATAAGGCAATCTATAAATTGGCTATTGCATAGTTGCTGCACAGTTACCATGTTTCTAATGGGACAAAATCGTGACAGGAGCCTTGAGAATGGGCAGCTGGTGAGCAGTCTGTGTGCACCAGTCACACACAACAGATGAAGTGAGCCAAGAGCTATTTATTATTTTTAATATTTCAGAAAATTAAAGAAGCCATTGATTTATAGAACATTATTTTGAGACAAGATCGTTGATTCACAAATGGTAGAAAATTCTTTTACCACATAGTGATTTGCTAGTGAACTGCTATAAAAAATATTCTTAGGCCAAAACTCCAAAACACATCAAAAGGCAATTTAAATTTTCCATTTACCATTTACATGAGTTTTCATCCTATTTTATGTTCTTTATAAGGAGATCTCAGGACCCTAATGGCAACAGCCAATTGATATCAAGTGGGTAAGTACAGAAGTAACGTTCTAAACACACACAAGCCAGTCTGTGGACAGTAAAACAGCCCCTCTCCACAGTACAAGAATTCCTGCAGTTTTGACAGGCCTCAGTAAGATGGCAGAGAGAGGAAGAGAGACATCATGAGGGATGAAGTTTTAAATTAATTAATTTCCATAATTTCAATATTTTTGCCAGGAAAAGTAAACAAATGGTTTGCACCTGTTCTTACACTTATTTAAACACCTCTCTTGTTCTTTTACTCACAATACACATATATGTACACTAGGAAATGTAAAGGATGCTCCAATACTGTAGTAGTTTTATGAAAGCTAACAGAAAGCATCAAATATTACTTAAACCTACACTCAATTTGCATTTGTATACGATTTAAAATTTTTGTTTCTTTTTGTCTTTTAAGTTTTTAATTGAATTTTTCTAATTTCATAGAATATATTTTGATCATATTTAGATACACTCCCTCCTCTTTCTGTACCCCTCTTATAGCTCCCCCACCAGATTTCATGCACCTGTCATATATATTAAGGCCTATGGAGTCAATATTTTGTACCCAGATGTCCTTCAGTTATATATATATATATATATATATCAAGCCAAGAAATGGAATTTTCCAGACATCTGGGCAGGGCAGTTGCTGATCTGAATGCACAGCAGTGGTGACAGCATGCTCACATGCCATGCAAACTCAAGCTAGACAAAATCCCAGCATAGAAGTGAGGAGGTGGAACTGGAAACCCTCACTGAGGAGACACTCATGTATCTGAAAAGCCTCCTTCTGCCATCACTGAACAAAGCCACCAGCAAAACATCTCATAGTGCAACAGTATAAAAGAAAGTCACACAAAGGAGCTTCTACCACTGATTTTAGTTGGAGACAGTTAAGAGTTTTATCCAGCTCCACGTTCTTTATTTTATGGCTGAGACAAGTGGCTCCTTGAGTGGTCAGTCGATCTTCTCAAGGTCCCAGAGCTATTCAATGGCAGCGTTTAAGCGAAAAGTGGTGCCTGTGCTGGTTCAGAGCTCTTATCGTCACCGCTAGCAGGAAGTATGGCCATCGCTTATCCATAAGATTAAAAGTTTTCAAAAACTTAGTAAATAAAATACATTTTTTGGGCCAGGTGTGGTGGTACACACCTTTAACCTCAGAACTCGGGAGCAGAGGCAGGCGGATCTCTGTGAGTTCAAGGCCAGCCTGGTCTACATAGTGAGTTCCAGGAAAACTGGGGCTACAGGGAGACCCTGCCTCAAAAAGACCAAAAAAAAAAAAAAAATTAAAAAATACATTCTTAATGAACGAAGAATAAATAAATTTCAATATTTTCCTTCCTTTCTCCACACCTCCTTCTTGAGGCTTTTCACCATTTCAGAAAGGTGGGGCTTATGTAACAGAGTGCTTGGCTCCCAACTTTAAATTTCATTCATTTTTGAGTAGCATGGAAAAACATCATACATACATTCTTCATAGTAGTTTCTCCAAATTTAAAACATAGAGAAAACATGATTATATATAAGGGTGTTTATGGGGGGGCGTGGGTGTGGGTGTGTCTGTGTGTATGCTCAGGTGGTACCAGCCAGGTTTGGCTCTTGGGAGACAGAAGATAAGAGATAATCATGTGAAAATTTTAATAGGAGAACAATCTACTTTGAGGATAGTCCACAAGGTCATCTGAACAGAAAACCAAGGTGATGTCAGACCTGTAAGACAGCCAGGGCTATTTTGTGAAGCAACAGATGGATATCAGACATGTAACAGTATTGTGTGCAATAACATTTGTTATCAGACATGTAACAGCACTGTGTGCAATAAAGGCTGGAGAAATGTTCTTCAAGGCTCATGGAAAACTGTGGCATAAAATCAGTCAGTAAAAGATTAAATCCACCTAATGCACCATTTCTAACATGATAATATAAGATTTGGAAATTGATCATACAGGGAATTTTGAAAAATTCAAAATGTAGAAATTAAATAGAATACTCCATCAAAGAGAGCTGAAATAAGAAATAAGGAGAAATCAAAACAAATATGGAACAAAAATGAAAACATGACAACAAACTTTCCAGGACATAGAAAAGCTGGTTCTAAGAATGAGCTTCTGACCAGTGATTATCTAATTAAAACAAAGTACCAAATCAAACAATCTAATTTCAAAGCACAAAGATCTATAAAAAGAAGAATCAACTAATTCCAAAGAAAGCAAAGGAAGAAATAATACAAACTAGAGCAGAAATCAATGAACAGAAACCAGGAAGAAAATAAAAACAGTCAGTGAAATCATTGGTTTCTGAAAAGATAGTTAGGCAAAATACAAATTACACTAAAGAAGGAAGAAATTCAATAAATAATACTAATGCTAAAGAAAAACAGGCATTGTATTTGATATGCTCAATACCAAACAGTAAGAGAAGGCCATACACAATTCCATGGCAACAAGCCGAACAATTTTGCAGGAAATTGCTGATTTCTGAGATACATACCTCTTGTTAAATCAAGAGGAGACAGTGTTGTCTGAACAGACCAATAGTGAGTGACATTATTAAATTGACAATTATTTTACTTTCAATAGAAGAAAGCACAGCATTAGACAAATGGCTTTTCTGACGAATTCTCCCAAACATTTACAGAAGAATTAATGTCATGTCTTTTCACACTTTACAAATATTAAATAGAATGAAATACTCCCAAAGTAATTTTATGAGGTCAGTACTATCCTCATACCCAGACCTGGTAACAACACAACAGTGTTATGGGGCAAAGGTGTTGAGCCTTGACAGAGAAATCTTGAATCAAAGCAAGCAAGGCTTAAGAGAACATTGAGAGAGTCACATTCCACAGCCACCAGGACCTGTCCTTGATGAAAGATGGCCACCACGCACATCAGCAGGCCCAAAATGACACTGTGGCCGAATGAAAGCTGGTAAGGTGGTGATCTCAAGGAGTACAGAAAAGTAGGAAACAACAATCAGCATTCATTCATAACAAATTATGTCAGAAAGATGTGTCTGAAGGATGTTACTTCATCACAATGAAGGACATATCTGACTATCCCACAGCTGTTATCACAGTCAATGCTGAAAACGGTGAATGAAGTTGGGGAACAAGGTAAAAATACTCAATACCACTGAACAAAGAACTAGCGACTGTAGCCTAATGTATTAGGCAAGAAAAGGGAAAAAATTCTTCTAAATTGGAAAGAAAATAAATCAAACCTACTCATAGCAAGTGCAGTCCCTACATAGAAGATTCTAGAGACCGCATCAAAAGAATAAGACTACAAATATTAAACTCTAAGTTCAGCAAAGTCACAAGTTACAAAATTAACATGCAGAAATCATTTGTATTTCTAAATACTATGAACTTTTCAAAACTCAAATAAATGTCTCTGCTCAATGTAGCATAACATAAAAATAATGTACTAGAAAAAATTATATGCAAGGTAGTAAAAGTTTATATACTAGAAATCTGTGAATCATTGATGACAGTGATTGAAAAGCATGCAAATAAAGTCTGAACAGTGACTACATGTTTGGAAAATTAATATTCATAAAATATTCTCACAGACACCCACAGATCAGTTCAACTCTTATGAATATCCCACTGACATTTTTCTCAGAAGTAGAAAAATGAGCAAAAATTTTTACATGGAATCACAAAAGATTAAAAACAGTTAACTAAATCTTTGGGAAGAAAACTAAAGCAAGAGGCCTAAGCATTTCCAGCTTCAAATCTTATTATAAAACTCAAGTTACCAAATCAGTATGTTGCTGACATTAAAAACAAACACACAGCCCAAAGGATTGTTGTGGAGATCTGAGAACCAGCTCACACATATGCAGGTGATGGGTCTCTGAGCAAGGCCCAAGAGCACAGACTGGGAAGCAACTGCACCTCAGTGAAGAACGAGATTGGAAGTAGAGGATCTACACATGGAGAATGAAAGTGAGCCCTTGTAGTCTACAATACAGTGCTTACAAAATTAACTCAAAAAGTATTAAATACTTAAATGAAAATCCTAAAATCTAAAAGGAAATAGAATCCACTGACATTAGTCTTGGTAATAATTTTTATTGATATTATATCAAAACATAGGCAAATACAACAACAAAAACAAGAACAAATGTCAGGTATCTGCACAGCAAGGAACCAATCAAAATCTGATGACAAACAACACAGTAGAAGAAAAAAACTGTTTATTTACAGTTCTCAAAGAAAATATAAATACAGGGAACCAATGTCCGCAAAGTTGGTCAATGTAGTAATCTCTGGAGAAAGACAAAACCTCAGTGAGCTGTCCCCTCGTTCTCTGAGTGTGCGAAAGGAAGATGAGATCAGATAGGAGGACACGCAGTATGAAGTCAGGGAGCCCTGGGAGCTCTGCTGTGAATGCAGATCTCTAGAGCCATTCTGGAGCAGAGGCTGGGAGTTCCTTAACATTTAGAACTTAAACCACTCCATGCCAGCATTCCAGTGCTGGTCACACATCAAGGAAATGAGCTCTGTGGATTGGAAAGATAGTTCTCACCCATGTTTCTGGTGTATCATTCCCAGTTATCAAGATACAGAAACTAGCATGTGTCCATGGATGGATAAAGAATTAAGCATTTACAGCATATTTGTGCAAAAGAAAATTATTCAACCCTAGGCATTATGTGAACATATGAGTAAATGTGGAAGACACTGAGCTCAGTGAGATAAGATTATATTGAAAGACGATTACTCCATGTGAAATTCAAAAACTTCCGTCACTCAGGCAGAAACAGAAATGTGTCACTGGGAATGGAGGACCTGAGGAGATGCTGATCAAACTATCAAATTTGGGTTATAAGACAAAAAAAATAATTTAAAGATTCCATGTTTAGTCTCACTCTAGTCAACAAAACTATAGTTTAAAAATAGCAAGGAGAATTAGAGATAGCATTGACTTAAATCCCTCTGGTTCTGTTAAGGTAGTCTTGTCACGACCTGAAATCCAGCTCTGATACTACAGAGCTGGGAGGAAGCCTGCTGAAGATCTGAGGGAACTGCTGGGAGATGGGGCATGGCTGGGATTTTCTGAATGGGAGCAGAGGAAAGACACGCACTCCAGGTGCAATAACCAGTGGTTCTACAAATATCGATAAGCTGTCATAGCTTCACCTAGTAGAGCACCCATTCTTCCACCATCTGTAGAAGTTTCTAGTCATGACCCAACATACAAGAAAACTGGAATTTTGCTATATTTAGATGAAGTCAGCTTTCTGATCTCCCCATACACTCAAAGTCACAAAGAGGCTAAATGGCATTTATATGATACTTTGAGGTTTTTTTTTAACACAACTTTATCTGGCCTTTATTTTGAAAAAAAGAAAAAAATGCTTCAGCGAGGACTGCTCTTGGTATCCCTGGCTGACATGAATTATTAACTTCATTGGGTTTGAAAATAGATGGAGAGCCTTATTCAGAACAAACACACAGTCCATAGCACCCTGTTTCAAAGAAAATGCATAATTAATCTGGTCTTGAGCAGTAGAGTACTTAGATTCCATAATAATGCACCTTAGGGACACCCAAAGTGTTATTATGCTTTATATAAGCTTGTTTACAGCATAGATTTGATGACCTAGTCCAACATTAAATATTTAATATCTTAGTTTGGGATAGAATGTATCCTATAAATCTCATAACTATTAAAAATGTTTCTAATTTGTTGCCAGGTGTAGTGGCGCACGCCTTCAATCCCAGCACTTGGGACGCAGTGGCAGGTGGATCCTCTTGTTATTATGCTTTATATAAGCTTGTTTACAGCATAGATTTGATGACCTAGTCCAACATTAAATATTTAATATCTTAGTTTGGGATAGAATGTATCCTATAAATCTCATAACTATTAAAAATGTTTCTAATTTGTTGCCAGGTGTAGTGGCGCACGCCTTCAATCCCAGCACTTGGGACGCAGTGGCAGGTGGATCCTCTTTGAGTTCGAGGCCAGCCTGGTCTACAGAGTGAGTTCCAGGCAGCTGGAGCTACAGGGAGACCCTGTTTCAGAAAGACCGAAAAAAAAAAAAAAGTTTCTAATTTGTTGAATTTGGAGTTACAGGCCTGGATTTGCAGAATTTAATTAAATTTCTTTATTGGCATAGGGTCTCACCCTGTTGTCCAGACTGACTTTCAATTGGTGATCATCCTGCCTCCTGCCCTGGAGTAGACTGGATCATTTTTAGATTAAGAGGTCTACTGCACTGAAGTAAAGTTTACCCATGAGAGCAAAGGAAGGCAGCTTATGTGCTGGCCCACTATTCACTTCAAAGTTTCACCTCCTCAGAAGCACCACTGCCCCAGACATTAGGTACTTTGGCGTCTCCTGCCTTAGTACCAACTAGGATGCTGTGGAAGTCAGGAGCCGGTACAAGGAATGAACACATGGTGACCTTGTTTAGAGGTAACAGTGGACCCCCAAATCACTAAGCTGGCCCAGATGACTCGGAGACCTACGGGGAATGTCCAGTTAGACATTCATAGCAGTAAGGACGAGGTATTGGAGACTTGTTTCATAACAGTTGAATGTTCGGACCTGTGCTGTCTGCCTGCTTTGCTGGTCCCCAGTTTTTCCTTATATACAGAGAAACTGTTAACATGAACGGTTGTTCCCTTTCTTGATACTCCTCAGCCTCCAGCTCCTTAGTAACTTGCTGAGGTTTTGCCAGGGGTTCAGGGACCATCAGTAACTGTTGGCTCCACTGTCCCCATCAAGACCTACATTCTTCTTCAAAACAAGTGATCTGCTAGACCCTATGTCTGTGGATTTCACAAGCATCCACTTTATCTTACCAACACGCTTCTTTATGCTTGTCCCCAGTGAGTCCTCTCTGTCTTTATTTCTCCAAATTCTGCTTCCCTCCAAGGACGTTTCTAATCCGTCCTCCTTTTCCTGCCTCTGATTCAGTGTTGATTGTTCTCCAGGAGCTCATTCTGCCTGTTTTCTCTTTACTTCTTTCCACATATGCTTGGAATGTAAAATCCTGATTTAAATTTTCATTAGCACACCCAGAAAATAATGTTTTTAAAGCAGATGATGCTGTGGTAGTTCAAAAGTTGTATAATTTTTTAAATTTAACATAAATACTAATGAAGGATCTAAATTTAAAGCTGGGATCATGTATTTTTGTTATTTTAACATGTTCTATCCTTGGCAGAAGATCCAAAAGATTAGAAAGTCTCACACCACCTGGAGTTGCAGCTGACTCACTCCAGATTCTTAATGAACATTTTCAAATGAATGAAAGAATAATTGGAAAAGTAGGCCAATTATCCTCAGGGTTTTTCTGATTTGGTTCTGTCTCTGAAACTCAGCTACTTTCCAAACATTTGTTCTAGGACATATTTCTAGTGTGTAGTCAGAAATGGTTGCTATACATTGCATAGGAAAAACACAAGTTTTTTGATGCTTATAATAAGGCTCATGAGTGTTATCATGAAAAACTAAGTACAGTGATGAGTCAAACTAGGCAAGAAGGGAAAGCACACTGGAACAGGTGCCTAGAAACTGGCCACTTGGACACCAGAATGAGCATGACTGTTAACGTTCATGAGTGTGTGCACAAGTACAGAAAATGGAAAAGGTGGTCCCAAATCTGCCCCTCAAATACAAATATTCTAAGCTACACAGAAGTCTCTTTCAGGGCTCTCCAATACCCTCCCAGAAGAAGCCTCTGATGTAACTTACTTGTTGGAGATGATGTTTCCAGCAGAGTCCTGAATCTCCCTGCCCCTAGTTGACTTGTCTGCTGACCTCTCTGACAGGAGCTCTGTGAGGGGAGATAACAAACAGCTTCACATTGTCATGGAAGAAACTCAATCTCTCTGTTAGTTGATTTGCGGGCAGAGATGACTCTCTGCCCTGCCCTGGTCTTATTCTTTGTGAAACAGAAGCATGCATTTGAAAGCAGCAAGGCCCATCCTCCATACCGAGTATCATTCGCCACTTGCAGGTAAATGTGGGGTTCTCATTATACCTGACTTCAGGGGTGAGAGTGCAGGAAAAGGCCGTGGTCAGAACACAGTGAACACCATTCTAAGCCTGTGCACAGTATTCTAGGCCATCTGTCCCCATGGGGAAGAAGCTATGATTGCAGGACCTCCAGATATTATAATATTTATTATAGCCTCATTTGCAGTGATTTCATTTGGCCTGCAGAAACAGAGGTATGGGCAGTTGTGCCCACCATCAGTAAAAACTTAATGAGGATAAAATTGATCTCATCAATTTCCTGTCACTACCTAGCTTACTACACTCAAAACCTGCTGTTTATGTAACTTCCCTGTCCTGAGAAAGACAAGGTCAATGCCTACTGTCCTTTCTGTCTTTGAGAAAAATTGCTAGACTTTATAACCAATAATCAGTATAGCAATGCGACAACATTCCCAAGGCCCTCAGTGGGCATTCAATCCACACATTAACCAAGACCATGATACCAAGATACGAGGCCAGAGAGTTCTCTCACCACTTGTCATCTTGCTTCTTACTGTTCACTGGGAACCTCGATGTCACACTAAATGATCGTATTTGTTTTGGGCATCACAACTAGTTCTAGCTAATGAGAAGGAAAAAAAGGTATGAACCTTCTTCTAGTTACAGAAATTCCCTTTCCCTTTCTCCCTTCTAAATATCTGGAATGTATGACCGCCATCCTGCAGTCCTAAGAGAAGAGGCCACACAGAGAATGATATTGTTTCCTGCCTAAGAACGTCATCCATACTCTTTTACCTCCAGACTTATTAGATGGGAAGGAAATGGATTTCACCTTGTTTGGGTTGTTATTGTTTTAGACTATAGCACCCTGTCAAAAATGATTTTATCAGGTACCAATTGCTGAGTCTGTGAGTGACACAAATGATCACGAAGCAGCTGAAGTTTAAGCTGGTTCCCTCAGATCCTTCCCTGTGAAATTAAAGGTGCAGGTGTGGAGGAGGGTCCTTTGCAGAAGGAAGCTGTAGAACAAGGTACGCTAGTGAATCCAGTGATGCATGCCTGTGTTGTATTAATGTGAATTTGGGGCTGAGTAATACCTACCTACCTACCTACATACATACATACATATATACATACATGCAATATGTATCTGTGTGTGCTCTGTCCTGGTAACTTAATTGAAGGAAGTCTATGCCATGAATAGTGAGTCATAAAAATTAAAGTTACAAGGGGCTGCTGAGATGGCTGAGTACAAAGCATTTGCTGACGAGCCTGAGGGTCTGAATTCTGTTCCTCGAATCCCCACAGTGGAAGGAGACAAGTGACTATGAAAGTTGTCCGCTGACCACACACATAGCATGGCACATGTGTGAGCTTACATACACATGGTAATTAAATATAAAAACAGGCTTTTTCTAGTGTCTTTTCAAACATATTGCAGTCCTACTAGACTTTTTAATGTAAGCCATTTTAAAAAGGAAAATCAACCAAAATAACTCATGGATTAGGCATTCTGAGAGGAGCTATGCCAGACATGTTCTTTGTGTCTTGGTATTAACTGTCAGAATGTTTCCAGGACAATATTCTGTCAGCCCTGGTTTTTGTGAAAACAATGTAGATGTGCATGGTGAGCAGGCCCCAGACGCTGTCCATGGTGAGCAAGCCTGAGACACTATCCAAGCAAAAGAACAGAGATAACACTTCAAACGACTTCCAGAAGCCACTAGCCAATTATCTTTCTGTCATTAATGGATGCTGATATTACCTAGGACTTCGTGAACCAATGTCCTCAGAAAGAAGTTGCAACACCCCACTGAACCTTCCTCAGGGAGGGATGACTGATTAGAACGTCAGTGCTGGGAGACGGGTGGGAATGTCACAGGTCCAGAGACAAATTATCTTGAACCACCTCTAGCTTTCTTAAGAGCAATTTATTGCCTTCTTCTGTGTGTAAGCTAATATCTTTGTGAACCCTAGATAAATCCTTTGGAATGTAAGAACAAATATCTAGCCCCCACCAGTGGAAAGGCCTAGAATGCCTTCAGATAGCATCTGGGGCTGTAGCAGAGATTTCCTGGCCTTGCTTTAGCCTCCTAACAAATGCTTCCATTAATATATTTGAAAAATGATGTTGTTGTTGTTGTTGTTCCACTACTATAAAAACTTTGTCACACTGTTACCATGTAGGAACACAGAATTTGGAGTGACCTAAGTCTGGGCTTCCAGGCCAGAGTCACTCGTATTTGGCTTCAGAATAAACTACCTCTTAGACCCTTTGAGATAAGAGTTGTGTTTTGTGTGTCAACAAGTTCTGGGATCTTAGTATCTATTATAGTCCCCAAACCTTCATGTAGAGAACTATTCGCTGGATCCTGAGCCTGCCCACTCGCAGGAATGAGTGCCCTTATCGAGGTTTTCAATAGCTGCAGTTAATATTCGTCTGAAAGAAGTAACTAATGCCAAACTCCAAATGTCAAAGGTCCTTTAGAATATACTTGATGCAACTATTTGAAATGAGTCAGAGGCCTCTCAATGTAAATATTTCATTGCTCTAAAGCAAGCTCTATGTAAATATTTCAAGGCTCTCTGCAATATAACCACATTTAAAGTAGGAAATAGACAAGTCTTATCAACGAACTGATGCACATCCATCTTCGAGCCCTACTTCTAATGCATCACTATCTTCCAGCCACTTCTAGGTGAGGGCTGGAGAGGGTAAGTATTATGGGGGTGCTTTACAAGTCTTGAAGTGGAAGCTGAGGGGTGGAGTGTTCAGGTGCCGAAATGTTCTGTGCTTTTCTGCCCACAACTCTGCTATTGTTCCACTGGCAACATAAAGTCAGAGACAGGAAAAGCAGTAGCAAAAAGTAGAAGGATAAACCAGGGTTAAAAACGAAAGGCGTAGGCAATGCATTTCCACAGTTAAAACACTACGTGTGGAGGCACAGCGCTGTCATGCCAGTACTCAGGAGCCTGGGAGAAGAAAAATCACAAGCTTTGGCCAGCCTGGACTATACTGCAAGACCTATTCTCAAACAATATATGCCCTCAGAATGTCTAAACTATTGAATTGTTTGTTACTCACTGAACAAAAGGAGAAAACAAATTTATTTATAGTTCAAGGAAGATGAAACCAACAGCAGTAAACACAGGACAGCAACACTGCCTGCTGGAGGAAGCAGTCCCCACAGCTCTGAAACCGACACACAGGACCCAGCACTGCATTCCTTCCCGTCCTTCATCCAGATTTCCCTGTTAGTTTATTTGCTTCCCATTCTGCCAGCGAAGTTGCTGGAAGTTGCTCTCATGTTATTGTGTTCTTATGGTGAAAACGACAGCATTTTCTTTATATTTTTCCACCTTGCTCTAACATGTTTGCAGCAGCCCTTTTACATGTGCTTCCTTTACTTAAATCACTTGAGAAGAGGGCTTCACAGGTGGAGCGTTGAGTCATGGGCCACTCTCATCAAATCCTTTCAGGTGGTAACCATGTGACTACGGAGGCCACCTTTGTCACCAGTCCCCGGAGGGCAGTCCACAGTACACTCACAAAGCCATGTGCTCAGCTGCTCTGGGTCAGAGTCAGTTCATAAGACCTGAAGACCTACCCACCTGATGACATCATACACAGATTAAACGTCATTCAGTGATTCAGTGATTTGGAAACAGCAATATGGATGCGACATTGTTTTCACTATTTCTATCACTAGGAACAGCCATGACACCTGGATGCTCTGCATGAAGAAAATATACAGAAATATTGAAAAGTGTAACGTGAGCGCACCAGCAAAAGACCTATGGCAGCCAGTTAGCAGTGTGACAAAATCTCCAAGAAAACCACTTAAGGGGAAAGGATTTATTTTGGTTTCCCACACCAGAGATTTCAGTCCCAGATCAGCAGAGTGCATCAGGATGGCTTCAAGTGAATCAGAGCATCCTGGTGACAGAACATGAGGCTGTTGATATCATGACACCCAGAAATTGACCGAGAACCAAGTATCTCCATGGGTGCAACCCAAGGCCCTGGGGTCTCCAACCAGGCTTGAACTTTGTACAGTTTCCATATTTCCTAACGGTCCACTAAGCTGTGAGTTCATCAATAGTTTAGCCAGCTGATAAGATCAGAGCTCTCATGATACAATCACCTGTGAATAGAGAAATTTAATGCCCTGGGAACCAAGCCTTTAAAACCTGAGGGAGACACATAATATCCAAAGTCCAGCAATACTCTAAGTCCAGTGGTCAGTGAGAGCATTATTTGTTTGTTTTTTTCTTATCCTTTTTGGTTTTAATGATTAACTGATTATTCACAAACACCAAGAGGTAGGGTAGGTAATGGGAAGGAGCAGTCCAACAGCAGAATAAAACCAAGCAGCACAGAAAAAGGGCAGCCCTCCTCGGCAGTCCCAAAATCTCTGAGTGGATAATCTGGACTTCCAACCAAACTAGACCGTGAGAAGGTGCTCAGAACACTCACCAGAATGCTATTACACAAACCAGAACAGGAAGCCAGGACACATGGTCACTGGAAGGTTTGGAAGGTCCGACCCTGAAATATCACTGAAGACCCATTAGGGAACCTGGACTCATTCCCCACCCTCCCTTCAGACAGGAAGAAGATGACCTTCACCCTCTGCTTGGTCCTCTCAGAAGAGTCTAGTGAAGGCAGGATTCCCAACAGTGCTGGCTGGTATCACTGTCCCTAACCTCACAGCATCAGGAGTGAATGGTGGGTATGGTGGATATGGGCAGTGACAATGACTCCTCCTCCTCAGCCAGCAAAGATTCCCCCGAGGCCACACTCACTGCTCTCACTCCTGCTCCTTAGTTTTCATGGCAGGCCCAAAGGGAGCCCCCTCTCCCACCCATAGTAGCAAGCAAATGCCACTGAAAACTTACCAGAACTTCAGGAACCGAGTTTCAAATCCACCAAGGACAACTGAGGCCAAGGCCAGCTCTTCTTCCCTAGTAGAGCAGTGTCGATGGAACCCTGGAAATAGATTTATATAAGGTTCAGAGTTCCTCAGCATAATATCCTAATGTCAAGGTTTTAATTTAAAAGTTCCTGCCAAACCAAGAACCTCAAAGTTCTCAAACTCCAAGATACAATAGTTACTAAAATAGAAATGATACCGGCTAGAATTATCTGACAAATATTTTATAGAAGTCCAAATAAAAGTACCCCAACAAATAACAGCGAGCATATCTGCAACTCGTGGAAGACAAGGAGGTCTCAGCGAATGCAGAAAAACTCATGGTAAAGAGAAAAAAGTCTAAGAAGAAGCAAATAGACATTTTATACATAAAAATAAAGAAAAGCTAGGCTAACCCATCAACTTTGATTTCTGCTGTCCACATACTTCTGGGCATGGGGCCATCCACAGGAGCGGTCAACCTGCTAAGGACCACACCCTTAAAGAAAACTGACTCTCCCTCCCACAGAAGCCATCAAAGCTCTACACTGCCTCATGGTGAGCCTTTCGCCTCCATGCAGGAAGACTCAGTGGTTGGACAGCATGCAGGCAACCACAGCTGCTGTGACTGCATGAGCACAATAGTCTTGTCATGCCCAGAACACATGATTTTGCTTCAGTTAGCGCAGACCTCTGACTTTTACACTCTTTTTAAAAAGCAAAAAATAAAAAGAGAACAGGATGTTGGGTAGAGCAGGGGGAAATTTGGGGGCAAATAGGATTAAAATGTATTATATGAATTTCCCAAAAAATTAATAAAATATTTATAAAAAGACTAAGATAAAATGGTCAGTGAATGAATTCCAGTTGGGTGTAGAGCACAGAGAAGTAACTAAGTGAAAGGAAAGGTAGAAAAATTACAAAAATATAAAAATGAAGGTTGCCAAATGAAAATAACATAAAAGCATAAACAGTGAGCCAGTGGAGCGTCAGGCAGCTACAGAATCGGGCTTCATGCCATCATCGTCACAAATGGAAAGAGGGGTTGAAAAGTTCTAAGGAAACAATAGCAGAAAGCCTTCAAATGCAATCAACAAAATTACAAGCCTACGAGAAGTAAGTGAAATATAAACTGGCTAAGCCAAACAAATGTGCCGTGAATCAGAAAACTCCCAACACAGGCAGACTGAGGCACAGTCTTTCAAGACAATCTGAGAGCATAAATACCTTGCTTAAAACTGAAATTATGGCTTAAATGACAGCTGATATCCCACTAAAATTCACATAGATCAGGGGCTAGTAAGATGGCTCAGCAGGTAACATGCTTGATGACCAAGGCTGTCCACCTGAGTTTGACCCTGGAACCCACATGGTGGAAGAAAAGGATGTGACCTCCACACATGGACACACACAAATATACACAGATGCTCACAAAATACAAAAGTAGAAACGTAGTAAGAGTCATATAGGTAAGAAGAGTCACAATAACTTTCAAGGTCAGAAGACACACTACTGTCACCTACAAAACTTCCATTTGGTGAAAATACCCCTTCAAGCAACAGGGGAACACCAAGATGTCCTCCATGAAGACAAATGAAGAATTTTACTCCTGTATTTTTTATTCAGCAAAAGGCATTATACAACATAACTATGTAGGATTTATATTAAAAATTGGAGACTGGTTTGAGCTTAAAAAATGAATTAAGTCATACATTATAATAACAGATTAATGAATCCAGAATATCAGCACGGTGCTTACAGAAAGTGCATTTAAGAAAATTATTAACATGGTCATAAAAATAGGAATTAATTAGAACTTTAACTGGATAAAAATATAGAAATTAGATCTAGAATTATGCTAATGGTGAAAACTCAATGTTTTTCCACAAACTTGGTACCAAGGAGCCAATGAAGGAGTGCAAGCCTGATGACCCCAGTTCGAGCCCCAAATCCGCACACTGTGGGGAAGAACTACCACCTACAAGCTGTCCTCTGATACAGGCACACATATACAAATATGCACAAAATTGGAAAAAAAGTAAACGTAGATTTTAAAAAGAGAAGAAATTGAAATCCAGACACTTTTTACAACTTTTTCAGTACAATGTTGGAATTTCTAGCCAATGTGTAAACTTATAATGAGTAAATAAAAACAAATTAAAAATGAAGAATTGAAAATGTTCTTATTAGGAACTACATGATTGATTACAGAGAAATTCCTATGTAAACTAGGAAACTCAAGGAAAGGGTAGGGGGATAGAAGAAAGAAAGAATGAAGAGAGGGAGGAAGGACAAGGATGGGAGGGAAAGGGACAGAAAGTGCTCCCACAGTCCCGAGATCTAAGACACGGGGAATTCTGCACGATCTCAAAGCATAAAACAGACATGAAAAATATTGCTTTCACTTGTATGCCTAGGAAAATATATAGGTATCAGAACTAATGATATAATACCATTTCTAATGGCTGAAAAATGAAATGCATATACATCTACCAACATAGAACTTCTGTTTGAAACCAGATCACATCTCCTACACCTGGGGACTATGTGAGCTCTTTCCCTCCTCTTTCCCTCCCTGCCTTCCTCCCTCTCTTGAGTCTTTCCTTCCTTTTGAGGCATCAAAGGAGATATTAATCATTGAGAGAGATGCCGTGTACTCGTAGACTAAAGGATCCACTAAAATAAAAAATTTCAACTATTCTCAAATTCCCCATTATTCCCAGGCCTATCACCTGCTCCTAAATCCATGACACAATTTTTTGTAATAATAAACAAAATTATTGCAATACTGATTTGTAAAAATAAAGAAAACTGAAACACAAAGTGTAGTTAAATGTAGGAAACTAAGACAGCAGAATTTAGGACAAGCTGGGCCTGAACTTTTAAGATCAGGCTGCAGCCTTTGCTAAAGGGCAAAGCACCTAAAACAGTGTCTCAGTCAGAACACCACAATGACTAGCACAAGGCGCTGGCCAGGTTAAGAGTTCACAGTGCCCTTTGTTCTAGGAAAAAACATCTTGACTTCCTTCATCTAGGAGAAAAACAACCTAATCCATCAATAACACCAGGTGTGTGTAATTGAAATTAGGACATCTTGGTCACAGCCCTGACACATTCCCTTGTCTTGAAGGAAAGACCCTCTGTCCACACTGAAGGACTGAATGACCTATGGGCCAAGCTACGTGAGCACCCTTTGTTTTTTGTCTGGTTGAACTTTTCATAAACCCTGAAACTTGCAGTACACACTAGTCTCTTTTTGTGTATAAACTATACACAATGAGAGAGAGAGAATGAGAGAGTAAAATTGGCTTGCTACAAAAGATTTCAAGTCCCAGAGCGAGGCTCTACAATGCAGATACCACTATCACTGAAGCAAGAAACCTCCACAAGGCAAAGTGGGGCCCCTGCAGTTAAAGAGAGACATCAACTCTCCTAATTTCAAGACTCACCCATAGCGGCAGTCAGGACTTCTCAGGCCCACCAAGCATGGGGTGCCAGACTACAGTACAGCTACTTTGAGTCTAGGCGGTTGAGATTAGTCTGGGCAGCATAACCAGACTCTGTATTTAAATAACCAAACAAGTAATAAAAGGGGGCAATGGAGCAGGAACTCACCTGGAAGCCTTCTAACTGAACACTACTTCTCATAGCTCTAACCATAACCAATGACATGGCAAACTACCTCTGTTGCTGCAGTAGTGGCACTGTTATTGGGGGGGGGGTCAACAGCTAATTGGACTTAAAGCCCTCTCAATGGGAGGGAACTCATGGGTGGCACTGTAAACACAGTCAAATACACATGACTGGGGAGGTCACAGATCCTAGAGAAAACCCTATCACTGTCATATGTCTAGTCAAATGAAATTTCTTCTTATATGCTAAATATGAATCCTTATATTTACAGACAAGTATACTGTACATCACTCATCAATGTGCAAGCTCTATACCTAAGGGTCATAAAAAAGGTATTAGAGAGAATATTAATGCATCTCTCAATTCTCACCAGTGAAGCGTCCTCATGTAGCGGAGTGTGATGCATACAAAAGGCCACAACTGGCTAAGGTTTAGAAAATAAGAGACTGCAGAGTGTTGTCCCTGGGAGGGAATCCTATATTAAACCTCATCCACCCAGGGCTCAGGGACCATGGTAGAAAGATTGTAAGAGCCTTGGGACTTGAACACCACAGGATTAAGTGTATGTAGGTAGAAACAATTCTACACATAAAATATAGCAAATATTTTTTAAAAGGAACAAAGAAAATGGACACAAGGAAGGAGGGGTTTTTATAAGGATTTACAAATAGCAAATAAGCACTTGTTTTAAAAGTCACATTTAGGGGCTGGAGAGATGGATGAGTGCTTAAGAACCTGTTACCCAGAGAACCTGGTTGGTTCCCAACGCCAATGTCTGGCAATTCACAAACACTTGAACACCACCCTCTTCTGGCATCTGCTGACACTGCATGCATGTGGTTCACATACACATATGCAAGCAAAAAAGCATGCAAATAAAATAAAAGCAAATATACATGTTTTAATTCACATACTAATCATTAGTGAAACATATTTAAATGACAGTGAAATATCAGTGTTTTAGGAAATATCAGACAGGTCACCTAGGGTATACAGGAAGCAGGTATTTTTATTTAGGCTGCAGCCTGGTCCATCAGGCTCAAGCCTCAAAATCTGGACCCTGAATGGAGGTAGTACGTGTCTTTTATACCTTAGGCACTGGGTTTCAGTGAGAGGGAAAATTACATATTGATAAGCTATCAATACATTCTATTAGGCAAATTATTACAAATTTATAAAGAAAACAAACACTCAAAAAATCCTTTGTCTGAAGATCATTACAGAAATCTCCATCTGAGACAAACAGAAATGAGGAATATTCATCAGGACAAAAAGCCAGTGATTGTAGCTAATTTGTTGACAGAGACAGAGGGAGAGAAACAAGAATTAAAAGCCATATTTTCCTTAATATTTCTTAGGTTCTATATCTTCCCTGTATCAGCGCTCAGAATTGTTGATATAGTTAAAAAGTTACCAATCTAGTCCTAACAAGATGCAGAGTTACAATTTTCCCACTGTGGGGAGGAGTGTGAAATATCTCCACCCTGGAACAGAATTTGTCAGTTTACTTAAGAGCCAATCAGTCACTTTCTGACCCAGCAATTCCTTGCATAGGGCCTTGTGCTATAAAAATAAAGACTTATGTTCACACTTAACATTCTCAAATGCATAAGAAAGAAAATTCTTAATAATCCCCAATTGCAACAATTTAGACATTCTTCAAGACATAAACAGGCTTTCAAAGAGCAGTGGCAGATCTAAACTCACTAAGGAAAAGAAACAAACTTGCACAAGTCACCAAAAACTATTGAATGAAAAAAGCAATTTCTTGAAACAGCACGTTAGTGGCTGCCTGGGGCTCAAGAAGCAGGAACAGTGGGCAGAGCTTGGAGGAGGATTTCCTTGATGTCACCAGGGAAGAGGCTTTCTGAATGTGCACAGCATTTATCCTCATATTTTCTCCTTCGTGTTATAGTGTAAGTTTTTAAGAAACCAGGAATCCTGCTGTGTTATTTCAACTTCCTGTATATCTCCAATTATCTCAAAACAAGACAAGAAACATTAAAATCATTAAAATCCCCACAAAGACCATACAGACAAAAATGTAAAAATGTTATCAACAAGAAATGGAGGAGCAAAGAATACACTTGTGACAAACTGTGCACACATATTTCATACCCTGGTGACCCACAGAAATGGGAAAAATCCCCAAACATAAGTCATTCTGAAAATTAAGGCAAGTGGATCTCAGACTTCTGGCTCAGACTCGTCATGAGCTCAAGGTAAAGAGTCTCTTTAAGGATGCAGCGTTAAATCTGGGTTTTGGAACAGATGCTCTGTTCACTTCATGCAACACCCTGCACAGCAGAATTTCCGGAAGAATTGACCCCCAGAGGGTTAGGAATGAAAAGGAAAGAGGAAGGAGAGGAAGAGGAGGAGGAGGAAGCAGGGAAGGGGAGGCGAAGAGGGGAGGATGAGGAAGGGGGAGAAGAGAGGGAGGAAACGGGGGAGGAGGAGGAACAGGTAGGGGAACAGAGTGGGGGGAGGAAAGTGAGGAGGAAGAGGAGGAGGGCAGGAAGACAAGAGAACGTTGGGGCGGGGGGCGGGGAGAAACGACAGGGATTCCAGGCAAAGTAAAAAGTTACCACATGAAACCAGGGCGCACATAGCATCTGGGCTCTGGATCAGAGAGCAGCGATGACTGAAGAACTGAATCATAAACCTGAGGTAGAAAAATAAAGAGTACAGAGCTTATTTCTCTGTCAGGTTTAGCTGAATCAGGCCATGAAACTCCAGCACCAAGTATCAGCTTCTTTACAAAGTGTCATCACTCTTGGGGGAAGTCCTTAGCAAGTCCTTCACGTTCCAGAAGGTTCTCGGAATGCTCTCTGGCAGTGAACCTGAGTAACACAGAACCCAACGTCTTATCTTACCTTAGGGTCTTCAGACTGCTTTTGTTCCCTTTTAGATACCATCTCCCCGTGTAGCCTAAACTGGCCCGAAGTTGTCCTCCTCTGGCCTCAACCTCCAGAATGCTGGAAGGACACGTTTTCACTACACTGGGCTTATCCTTTGGAAATTCAGCTGTGATTAGAAGCAGATCTCCCTTTTAACAGCCTCTTCCTCCCTCACTGAACTCCAGTTACTGTTGAATCAAACCAAAGTCCCCCTCTTTGTCAAAAATAACACACTTCTTTTAAGCATAGAGAGGTGGCCCACTGAGGTAAGGAATCATCCTTTGAGTTGCGTTTATGAAAATATGAAAACAAAGATGTTAGAAATCTCCCAGGTGAACAGGATTTGAAATCAGGGCGGAGCTACATTGTGCGCAGTGCCTGCTACCTCACTTCATTTTTAGGACGAAAATTCCCCTGTGGCCCGCTGAAGTAAGACTGAATTTTTCTAAGAGACGTCAATTTCCAGCTATTTACCAAATAGCTTTACTAACACAATTATTATAACAACATTAGGCCTTGTTAATAATTTCAGATATAACGAGAAGATATGTCAAGTTAAAGCGCTCCGGCTGAGTTATTAATTTTGAAAACTGGAATAGTAACTGCTGAGCAGTGATGGCTCAGCAGTTAAAAGAGCCTACTGTTTAATCAAGAGGACCAAGGTTCAGATCCCAGCACCCATTTTGGATGCCTCACAAACTTCAGCTTCAGGGGATCTGATGCTCTCCTCTGCCCCCGACCAGCAATCAGAAACACATAGCCTACACACACACTTACACACACACTCCACACTCCAAGTAAGATAAAATAGCACTTTCCATTTTTTTTAATCAGTTCTTTTTTTTTTTTTTTTTTGAGAAAGTTCTCACTCTTTATCCTAGACTAGCCTTGAGGTCACCAACCCTCCTGATTACTGTGATTACAGAAACAAGTGACATGACTCAACACACTTAAATGTAACTTCACAGCAATTCACCAGTTACAGAATTCTACTGTGCCTCTAAAAGTTATGTTTATCAGGAGAAAATTCTGCATCATAGTGACAGGATCATGGAGAGGTGCTGAGCCATGCGGTCCATGAATTCTCTGAAACCTCAAAGCCCATGCCAGAATTTGGCTGAAAAAAAACCTATTAATTTTATAGAGATGGCAGGAATGAGCTGGCAGTATTGGCTACCAGACTGTGGTAGACATAAAAACAAAATTTCTACCTCATTACATCAAGGCAAAGGTCTGGGGAGTTAGAGTGGCAGTCATCAGTAGAAACTGGAGTTGAAGCACACATTACTGCTGGACCACTCGGCTGTCCATGCCGTGGCTTTGTTCCCACCCTAACTGTAAGCAAAAGTAACACAAATTGATATATGTCAAATATTGGATGTATCACAAGCTGGTTTAAGGCTAGTTTGTGTACATATGGCTATTTGAGGTGGTTTGTTTGGTTTGGTTTTCTGAACCAAATATTTTTCTATTTTAAGATAACCAGGATACTTTGGTGACAAAACTATCTAGTACTGGTATTTTATTATTTTTATTGGGGCTTACAGAGAAAATTATTTTTCCTTCTTGAGCACACAGTTTAAGTCTGGGGTTAGTTGGCCATCTCTCCTTATTAGAGGAATTTTTCTGATAGGACAAATACAACATTCAAAGAAACATAGTAAGAAGAGGAATTTGTGCTTTAAAGGGTCTTATTTCCCAAGACTGTGCATAGTATACAGTCAGATTTACTGCTGTTTATGCCAAGGTTTGGTTTATCCATCAATTACAGGGC